TTCCATTTTCTGTTGACTTATAAAAAAAGAGGTTTGTACCTATGTTATTTGCTTATTATTTCTTGCCTATGTCTTATAAAATGAGAAACTACTTTGGCAATAACAACACACAATGTACTAACCATTGTTACTCCCCTAAAATCTTGTTTTGAGATTTTGTACCACTGTTTTTATTTTTTTTTCTTTCTTTAAAATAAAAATAACTGATGTAAAAAAAAAATAAAATAAAATCTATTCAACTGTTCTTCTGGAACCCTTCTTTGTTACTATGAGTTCCCTTCTCTTATCCTCTTTACCATAAAGTAAATCCTCTTATTTACTCTGTTGTGTTGGTAGAGCCTGTTGGGCTACAACTTGCTAAAAATTAGTACATGGAAGGTAAATTATTTGGAATTCTATATGCCTGAAAGTCTTTTATTTTCTCTTCATACTACTATGACACTTCAACACTTGTAGAATTCTAGAATTTAAATTAATTGTCACGTAGTGGTTTTATATCAGTGATCCATCTCCTGTGGTTTCCAGCAGAGCTCCTTAGCGTGGTTACATAACAATCTTTGTTTCATTGCATGTAGTCCAAAAAAATTCGCTACAGTCATATTAGCAAGTATGTTTGTTTTTTGTTTTGTTTTGCTTTCCTTCCCTGTGGGAAGTGAAAATTTACCTTTTGTGAAACTATTTCAGTGAGCTACTGCATTCATAAATCTTTATGCTTGTGATAGACTAAGAATAGCCCACCACCATTTGTATGTTTTTAAATCCATCCTCAGTGTCCACAGTCTGGGTTTTTTTGCAAGGAGAACAATGCAATACAGGGCACAGAGTTTATAGGATTATTTTATATTAGTCACACTTACCCAAAGAATCATATACAAAGAGTGCACAAAATCTATCCACACACTAAAGATGAAAGAATCCAGCTGCAGGTCGGCACCCTAACATCCTGCATGAGTCCAGCTGAAAACCTAGAGCTCATAACTATGCCTTCCACAAGTCCAACTGGAGGCCTAGCACCCAAGACAGTGTCCCGTGCAGCTCTGCTTCACAGATATGTGCCAGGAAGGCCCAAAAGTCACTGTTGGAAGCTAGAAAGTCTCTGCCAGCAGGATGAAGGAACTGGAGGCAGGAAGCAACACTCAAAGTAAAAACCAGAGCTCCCTGCAAAAGTGCCACAGCCTTCCTCAGCAACAGCGAGGTCCTGAGCTCCTCTAGAAGAAGGAAAGCTGAGTTTTCATCACAAGAGCCAATGTGACAAGCTTCTCAAGAGACTGAGCAATGCACTATCTTCCCCTCCATAGCCAGGAAGCAACACTCCAAGTGAGGACCACAGCTCCCTGAAAGTGAACCACCACCATCCTCAGTGACAGCAAAGCCTGGGCTCCTCCTCTGAGGAGAACAGCCAAGATCATCAGGAAAGCCAGCATGACAAGGTCCTCCAGTAGAACAACCCAAGAGAGCCAGCAGCTTCCAACAGCGTCTCCTAACAGCCTCTATCAGCTCTACTCCAGTTCTGCCCCTTATGCTGCTGGCAACTATCCTCCATGCCACTCTAGTTCTATTAAGCTGGGTATAACAAGCTGACCACCAGTTGGCAATCCACCACACTTAGTATTCAGTTCTGGCTTTCCTGCCTGCTGTCAGTGTAATCTGTTGCCTCTAACCCCCACCTCTGCCAGTATCTTGTAAATAAATCACCTCGGCCTTATTTGTTCTCCTATCTGCCATCCTACTGTCTCA